TATGTGTGTATATAGAGTCAAATAAACTAATCTTTAAGGAAAACTTTCAGAATTTGCAAAGGCACCATAATTTGAAGAGCAGTTCCTGGCTGGAGTTTAGGAAAGCTTTGGATAACAGTGACTCACAACCATAAAGGACAGAAGATAAACCCCAGGCCTGGTAGATAAAACCTTGAACAGGGCTGGCTCCTTACAAACAATGTAGATCTATAAAACACTGTCCCATCTCTAAAACTATGTAGAGAAAAACTTTTTTCTCAATAGCCTGGAGACAGCACAAGAAATATGGGTAGAAAAATAAATCACCCACAGAGGTTGCTCCATCCTAGAGAAATTAAGAACTACAATTAGTCCAGAGTAGGTCACAGGAGTCTGGCAGAAGTAAATTTAAACCTCTGTACCTATATGCCTCCACAATTTAAAGGCTTCCACTAAATGGGGGTTCCTTGTAACATCAACAAAAAATTATAATGACATAACTTTTTTATACAATGAATAGTAAGACTTCACACACGTAGAACCATAGACAAGAGAAACTTCAAAAGAAATGTACTTAATATCAAGAGATGAAGAAACAGATGTCATAAAGAAAAAGACAATATGAAAACAGACATATTCCTTTTGTGAAGAAGACACATGTGGCACATATTTATAATCCAAGCTCCTCAGAAAAAGGATGTAGAAGAATCATGATCTGAGAATGGCCCTACAGAAAAGTAAATGACCTGTCTGAAAACCAAAAAGGTTGGTGCTGTGCCTCAAGTAGTAGAGCACAAGAAGCAGAAAGCCCTGAGTTCAAACTCTAGAATTGCAACAACTTTTTTTAAAAAGGCATAAGTCAAAGAATAAACAGCAGATTAACCTTAGACCAAAAAAAAAAAAAAAATAGTGAGCTGAAAGATATATCTGAGGGAAACACTCAAAATATAGCGGAGCTTTAAAAAAAAATAAAGAAAGAAGGAAAATGTGTAAGAATTATAAAAAGATGTTTCAGCAAGGAGAAAATAAAGCCCCCCAAAGGAAAAGCAGCTAAGAAATGGCAAAGGCGAGACCAAAGCAACAACAACAATGAAACAAATAAACACGAAATATAGCAAGGGAAAGCCATCGCTGATGAGATAGGAAGATTTCCTGAAAATTAGAAGATGCCTATAATAATGACAAAATAGGATATAATATGCAATGTAAAACGACTTTATTGAAAATGTAAACACTTGTACTTTCTTAAATTTGTGTATTTGAAAGTTGTCTTGAAAGTATTTGAAAGTTGTCTTCTATCTTATAAACTCAACTTCATGTTAAGCAATTTTATAGTCAAAGACTTTTTTTTTTTTGGGGGGGGGGCCGGCGTGGGGCCTGAACTCTGGGTCTGGGTGCTGTCCCTCAGCTCTTCAGCTCAAGGCTAGAGCTCTACCACTTGAGCCATAGCGCTACTTCCGGCTTTTTTCTTTTTGCTTATGTGGTGCTGGGGAATTGAACCCAGGGCCTTAGGCATGCAAGGCAAGCGCTCTACCACTGAGCCACCTTCCCAGCCCAGTCAAAGACTTATAGTATAAATACAACTACAAATGCTGAAGAAAAACAAGAAATACAAGCAGTACCAGACACACCCAAAGCTAGAGATTTTGTAATATATTTGTTCTTCCATTCAAAGCACCATCTCATCAAAAGCTCTATTTCATACATTGGAATCTAAATAATGCCAAGAGCTTAGGTAAATCTTAAAATCAAATAATAACACACAAAGATATCAACTGATAAAATAACAGATGTTTACTCTTATTTTTGGAAAATTCTACTTTTTTAACAAGTAAAAACAGGTTTACAGAATATCTAACTCAGGGATCAAGCAAAAATAGCAAAAAAAAAAAAAGCTTCAAGTGGGCTCAGGTGGCCCACACCTATAATCTTAACTACTCAGAAGGCTGAGATCTAAGGATCGTGGTGGTTTAAAGCCAGCACAGTCAGGAAAGTCCCTGAGACTCCAATTAATCACAGAAAACGCAGAATTAAGAGCTGTAGCTCAAGCAGTAGAGTACTAGCCTTGAGGGAAAGGAACTCAGGGGCAGGCCTAGGCCCTGAGTTCAAGCCCCAAGATGGGGGTGGGGGGGTGGGGAGGATGAGAGGGAGCTCCAAGAGTTCTGACTTAATAAATAACAATTTCATTTCATTTATTTTTTATTTTTTTTATTTTTTTGTTGATCATGGGGCTTGAACTCTGGGTCTGGACTCTGTCCCTAGCTCTTCAGCTCAAGGCTAATGCTCTACCACTAGAGTCACAACACCACTTCCAGTTTTCTGGTGGTTTATTGGAAGAGTTTCACAGCTTTTCCTGCTAGGGCTGGCTTTGAACCTCGATCCTCAGATCTCAGCCGCCTAAGTAGCTAGGATTACAGGCGTGAGCCACCAGCACCCGGCTAACAATTTCATTTTTAAAAAATATTTTAATAATAATTCCTCAGAAAACTGGAACTCTTTTCCAAAAGTAAAACCACATCTGTACTCTCCTAGAAAAAAATCTATGCCTGTTAGCAGAAGTAATGTGCTACTACAATGAACAATACAAAATAAGGCTTTTCTAAAACAACATACTTTAAGAGACTAATTACTTAATTGGTTAAACATCATTTAGACCAAATACTCCATGTGTAAAGAACGTATTTTCCTCTTATTTAAAAGCTTAGATGGTTTCTTTCTGAATCTCCTCTAAAAAGGAACACTTTCAGATGGCTGACAGAGTATCTTCAGGTCTTGTTCCAGGCACACAGAAATTTATACACATATAATGAAAACAGAAGAATGATCTCTTAAAGCAGAGAAACTATGTTTTAATGTTATGTGTACAAAAGTACAAGAATACAATTGGCAATGTTTAAATTCATATTTGGTTGCAAGAGGCTGTAAGAAATTTGATGATGTGGGTTTTCCCCTGGTTTGTTCTCCTTTCTTTGTTGAAGGGCAATCATTTTAGACTGCAGTGATCAAAAAAAAACATGGCTGTTCTGCTGTAACCATAATTTGCTGACAAAATATGCAGAACAGAACAGATTCTCAAAGCTCTTCTTTATAAAGAAGAGCTGTTTTATCTTTTCTTTGCTTTGCTTTTCCTTCTTCTTTTTGCTCAAGATTAGTACTCTACCACTTGAGTACAGCTCCACTTCTGGCTTTTTTGGGGGGGTTAATTGGAGATAAGAGTCTCATGGACTATCCTGGGCTGGCTTTGAACTGAAATCCTCACATCTCTGCCTCCTGAGTATGTGTGTGGACCATCAGCACCCAGCTTAAGAATTATTTTTTCTTCCATGGTCTTGGTGACTCATATTTTTAAGAAAACACAAAATATGATATTGATAACATATGATATCAACAAATTTGATCATTAGATTAACTTTCTAGTTTTCATACTGCTATTTACTATTCATAAGAACCCAACATGAGAGAACAGAGAGAGGAGTAAAGGAATATATTCTCAACTTACAAAGACAAAGTCAAAAGTGGAGAATAAAGTCATAAAATTGAATACGTAGCCTACAAAATGAAGAAAATTGAGGAGAAAGAGGGTTTGGAGGGATGAGGAAGAATGATCCAAGGACTGACATTGATCATATTGTATTCAGAAACTGATTTGTTGAATGGTAACTCCTTTGGTACAACTATTTAAAGTTAATAATAGTTTTTTATTTAATTTTTATTGTCAACGTGATGTATAGAGGAGTTACAGTTACATACATAAGGAGTGAGTATATTTCTTGTCAAACTTGTTACTCCTGCCCCTCATTTTTCTCCAACTTTCCTTCCCTCCCCAATCCCCCTCCAAGTTGTACAGTTGATTTCCAACATATTCTCTTGTATCGCTGTTTCATTGATTTGTCCTTTTGTCTTTTAACTCACTATTTTGTTGTTTCTCTTCCCTTCCCTAACTCAGATAAATGTATATACAATACCCAGGGTACCAAAATCAAATACAGTGACAACAGGGGATAAACCATAGGGGAAAAAGCACAAAAGAAAAAAGAATTTACAGAGTACATTAAAAATAACCAACAAAGAAAAACTTCTTGTTTCCATGCCTTGGCATTCATTTCACTTAGAATCATCTTACATGGACATGTGTACTAAGGCTTAGAAATTATTTACTCAAAATCTTATTTCAAGACAAGAACACAGAAATAAAACAATCTATAGTGTGATTATAAAATAGTGGTCAAGAGACAAAAATGGATTATAAAAGTGAATGAAGGGAAGAGGATGTAAGGAGTTACTAATAAATGAGCATGTTTCAGTTAAGCAAGATAACTACATTCTAGAGCTCTGCTCTAAAATATTGGACCTATATGCAAGAATATTATGCACTTAAAACATTTTTAAGCTGGGTGCTGGTAGCTCATGCCTGTAATCTTAGCTATTAAGAAGGCTGAAATCTGACCATACTGATTGAAGCCATGAGAGTCCAAGAGACTCTTACCTCTAATAAACCAGCAAAAAGCCAGAGGAGGAGATATGGCTCAAGTGATAGAGTGCCAGCTTTCAACAAAAAAGCCAAGTGAGAGCATAAGGCTCTGAGTTCAAGCCCCAGTACCAACACACACACACACACACACACACATACACTTTTTAGTTATATCACATGATAAATGTTCTTACCACAATAAAACGTTAAAAAAAATCATAAACAGAAACTTTCAGTACTCTGGAAAATAGCTAAAGTTTTAGAGCAACCAAATGAATGCTGATTCAAGAAAGACATTGCTTGAAAATGGTAGGAAAGCTTTGTGGCATTCTTGCTTGCCAGAACTCTCCATTCTGCCCAGTTTGGCAGTGTGAGTAACCAGTATGGAACATGGTCTCTGGTCTGCAAGCAGGGATTGCTAGTAAATTGTTTTGTTTGTCTATTCCAAAGCCAGGGAGAAGAGACTGGGAAAGAATACACATGGAATTCTCTTTGCAAGTGTTAGTTAATGGAATAAGCCTCCATCAATTTTTAAAAACTGACCTCATACCAAACATCTTCGCCAACCACAACGGAATGAAGCTAGCAATTAATAAAGAAGAAACTGGAAAATTTACAAACGTGAAAATTAAACAACATGCTCCTTGATCACAAAACATATCAGGAGGAAAACTATAAAATAGAAGTGAATAAAAACAAAAACAACATACCAAAACACAGGGGAAAATTAATATCCACAATACAAAAGCTCTCAAAAGCAGGTATGGTGTCTGATACCTGCAATCCCAGATACTTAGGAGAAAGAGATTGGGAGGTTCATGAAAACCATAACCAAATTATGTCCTATTCCCAGATGTCCAGTCAAAAATTACAAATTATTAACTTAGTTATATGAGAAATACAGTAATTCTGGTTGCGTTGGATAGTAGAAAAATGATCATTCTCAGAAGTAAACTGAAACTACAATAGTAACACTTTCGTTTCAAATTATATATACATAGGCTTTGAAATTGTATTGTACATATTGATTTTTTTTTTCTTTTGGAAGTGCTAAGGTTTAAACTCAGGCCCTTTTCCTTGCTGGTGGGTACTCTACCACTGGGCCATGACCCTAGGTCAAGAATCAAATGTTTATACCTACAATTAGTATGAATTAAACTTGAGTTAAACATAAGGAAAAACTATTCATATTTTACATGAAATTATCTATTTCATACAATAAACCTACAAATTAAGATTAAAATCTCTCAAAAGAACAGATTTATATCTTAACATATTATATACTAACTTATATAACACTGACTAAAAATTCCTTCCAGTGTTGTCCAGTAACAAACAATGCATGTTGCATTGACAAGTGATACAAAGTAAAACTACAAAATAAAGTTGAAAATACTAATAGAAAGTCACTATATCATGTTGCTAATAATAAATATTTATAAATTTTAAGTCATTATTAATAGGAATAGGCAGGGAATCTTCAAGTATAAAACGAACAATCTTGGGGGGGGGGGGGGGGGGGCGGGGGGAGGGGAGATGGGAAGGGATGGGAAGGGGAACCAAAGGAGGAGGCAACAATGCTTGATAAGAAATGTACTCATTATCTTGCCCATGTAATTGTAACCCCTCTATACAGATCTTCTAAGAAGATCCAATAAACTTGTAAGTACCTAAGAATCTGGGAGAACAATGCCTAGTAATATCTCTATACATCTATTTTTTGTCTTAAGTCAGGTAAATTTTTGGATAATGAACCACTTATGATACATGACATTTTATGAAATCTCTAAAATACTCAGGATTTACATTTTCAAACTACATATATATATATATATATATTTTTTTTTTTTTTTTGGTCGGTCGTGGGGCTTGAACTCTGGGCCTGGGCGCTGTCCCTCAGCTCTTCAGCTACAGCTCTTGAGCTACAGCGCCACTTCCGGTTTTCTGGTGGTTTATTGGAGATAGGAGTCTCATGGTCTCTGCTGCCCAGGCTGGCTTTGAACCTTGATCCTCAGATCTCAGCCTCCTGAGTAGCTAGGATTACAGGCGTGAGCCACCAGCACCCGGCTTTTCAAACTAATTTTTAAAGTAGCTCATATCTTGTGTATTACCTTGGGAACATGTTTGAAGTATGAGTTAGGCCATAATAAACCATTTTGTGATCAGAAATCTAGTATACTTAGTCATTTTGTTGCCTCTATACCCAGGTCCCCTGACAACTACACAGTGTTATAACTAGTACTTCCTACAGGAAAAAATTTCATGGAGCCACTTCCCTGGCTTTACACCTTTATTACCCTTTGTGATAAAATCCGAACTCCCTAGCAAGTCACAAAAGTTATTTAAATCTATCCCTATTTTTCTGCCCTTATTTTCCAGTGTCCCTCTACCCCTACTCCTCTAATAATTCATATTCTAGCAATAAAACTTACACTTCCTGAAATATAGAGCTATTGATTGGGTTGGGCTTCTGAGTCTTTGCATATGTTTCTCTTTCTACTAGAATGCCTTAGTCTTTCTTATTACTGCCTGGCAAATTTCTAGCTACTCTTTACATCCTATTTGGGTACTACCTCTTATAAAAGTTTCCCCAGGTCTGATTTCCACTTTCCCTCCAAGACAAACATAATATTCTGTTTCTGAATTCTATTCTACTTTTTAAGTGATTTTATTTCTGCATTTCATATATTAATGTGTCTGTAAAATAAGCTTATAGTTTGAGAATCCTTATGTTAGCTTCTATTGTCTACTATTTTAACTCAAAACAGTAAATAAAAAAAGCAAAAAAAAAAGAGAGAGAGAGAGAAGGAACAAAGACATCTCAAAAGCAAATAGCTTTAAGACTGGTCACAATGAAAACACTCCCAGTGTGGTATATTTACGAAATAAATAAGAAATTTCAATAGATATATGAAATAGAAAGCCTTCTAGTATTTTTCTGTACTAAATGACAAAAATGTAAAGCTAAATAGTTCTTAAATAAATGGTTTGTTATTCTTATCAGAGTATTGATTATGTTTTCTAATATACTCTACTTCACAAATTTCTATCCATTTTACAGAAAAACATAACCTGTTTTAGAAATACAAATACTTTTACTAAGTAAAAAATACTTTTACTAAGTGGAATCAAGCATTATTAGAACATACTTTTTCAATTTATTTTTATTTATTTTTAAAGCATATTAAAGCTTAACTATAAAAAGTATAAAACCTTTCTGTAATATGCAAAAAGAAAATAATCTTCAATGCTTTAAAAGAAATACTGTATCTGAGCCAAAGGAACGTTTCAAAAACAATGATTTCTGACAGATTTCTGACAAATTTCTCATACAATATGATTAGTAATGTAAAATTAATTCTTAAGAGTAATAGCAGCTGAGTTCAAATATATGGATATATTAACGTAGCTGAATACCAGAAGCCACAGTGAAGTTAACAGAATACTACTACTATTTCTAGGGGGAAAAAAAAAGAAATGTATATCACAGCAAATCACTTCCATACAACCAGACTACAAACACTGAAGGTCTGATAAACAAGGGTAACTGGTTGACCATTTCTCATTTTCTTCAGGATAATGGCTATCCAACTGCCTCTTACAAAATTAATATATTCTTAGTCAGGTGCCAGGGGGTTTACACATGTAACCCTAACTACTTGAGAAACTGGAGCTAGCTAGTTCACAAGACTCCTTTCTCTAGTAAAAGTTGTCTATGATAGTGTGTATCTGTCATCCACCTAGGCAAGGAAGGAAGGAAGGAAGGAAGGAAGGAAGGAAGGAAGGAAGGAAGGAAGGAAGGAAGGAGGGGGAAGGGAGAGAGAAAGGCAGGGAGAGAGGAAAGAAAGAGGGAGGAAGGGAGGGAAAGAGGGGGGGAGGGGGAAGGGAGAGAGAAAGGCAGGGAGAGAGGAAAGAAAGAGGGAGGAAGGGAGGGAAAGAGGGAGGGAGGGGGAAAGGCAGGGAAGGAGGAGGAGGGAGAGAGGGAGGGAGGAAGGGAGGGGGGAGAAAGGCAGGGAGGAAGGAAAGAGGGAGGGAGGGAGAGAGGGAGAAAAGGAAAGGAAAAGAAGAGGGAAGGAGAAGGGGAGGAGAGGAGAGGAAGGAGGATGGAAATTATGTATAGAGCTTCAGACTGTCAACAGATATGAATCTGATGAGATGTAGCCTTAAATTATGCTTTATACTTAAATAATATAGAAAGGGAATTTCATTTTCTTCTTTAGCAACTAAAATTATTATTAAATAAATTAGTGGGAGAGATACTACCATCTCTCATTGTTAGCTGGGTACAGTTACTCAAACCTATAATCCTGGACACTAAGGAGGCAGAGATCAGTGGATAATGGTCCAAGGCCAGACTGGGCAAAAAGAAGATAAGTGAGATTCCAGTTCAATTAATGGCTGAATTCAGAGACAGGGGACGCACAGTAAGAGTGTCATGACTCAGAACAGCCCGGGCATACAGCAAGACCCGACCTCAAAAATAACCAATGCAAGTATAAACCAAAGGGGGAGGGGAAGAAAAGAAAAAAGAAATAACTACAAACAGTACATTATAAAAATTCTTGTTTCCATTATTTGGGGTTCATTTTGATAAGCTTCATTTTACTGTTTTTGATTTCTGTACCCCTGGTTTTTCTAATTTGCAGAAGGGAAGGGGAAATCACAGAAACAGTGACACAAAGGGTGAACCAATCCAACAGTAACACTCACTAGACATGATGTTGGAATTGAAGGGGAGGGAGCAGGGAGAGGGGAAGAGTAGGAGAACATGAGGGAGGGGGTAACATTGTTTAAAAAGAAATGTACCCAAAATGGGGCTGGGAATGTGGCGTAGTGGTAGAGTGCTTGCCTCACATGCATGATGCCCTGGGTTCCATTCCTCAGTACCACATACACAGAAAAAGCAGGAAGTGGAGCTGTGACTCAAGTGATAGAGTGCTAGTCTTGAGCAAAAAAAGCTCAGGGTAGCCAGGTACCTGTGGCTCACGCCTGTAATCCTAGCTACTTAGGAGGCTGAGATCTGAGGATCACGGTTCAAAGCCAGCCCAAGCAGGAAAGTCCGTGAGACTCTTATCTCCAATAAACCACCAGAAAACCAGAAGTGGTGCTGTGGCTCAAGTGGTAGAGTGCTAGCCTTGAGCTGAAGAGCTGAGGGACAGCACCCAGGGTTCAAAACCCACAGCCAACAAAAAAAAAAAAAAAGCAGCAGCAGCAGCTTAGGGACAGTGCCCAGGCCCAGAGCTTAAACCCAGGACTGGTAAAGAAGAAAGAAGAAGGAAGGAGAAGGGAGGAGGAGGAGGAGGAGGAAATGTACTCATTACCTTACTTATGTAAGAAGAAAAAAGAAATGTACTCATTACCTTACTTATGTAACTGTAACCCCTCTGTATATCACCTTTGACAACAAAAAAAAACAATAACCAATGCAAAAGGGGCTAGAGGCATGGTCCAAGTAGTAGCTATTCAGGAGGCTGAGATTTGAGGATCACAGTTTCTAGCCAGCCTGGAAAGAGAAGTCTATGAGATTCTTATCTCCAATTAACCAGCAAAAAGCTAGAGTGGTAAAGTGCCAGAATTGGGGG